AAATGAGATTTAATTGATAAATTAGAAATTATTTGAATTGAAGGAATTTAATTAATATATTGAGAATTGTTACATTTGAAGAAATTTGATTATTTCCGCTGATTAAATAAATTATTGTAAATTCTATAAATTATGCTAATTTAAATATCCTAATTTTATTTTAGTTATTATTATTGACCCATAGTGAGTGTCAAAGTCGGCCATCTCGTCTCTACCACTTCGAGATTAGGCCTGATACTTACTGGGTACACGTTGTTTACGTACTCATACTACACTTGTTGCACTTTTTGTGCAGGATCTGAGACAGGTACTAGGGAATGACCTATCATCACATACCCACGTCATCCCGAGGCATAGTGGTGAGCTGCCTTTCTGAGCCGTTCTGCAGCTACCAGTGTCTCTTCTTATATTTATATTCTGTCTATTTCATTTCAGACAGTATTTGGAGTTTTGTATAATCTACTAGATGCTCATTCACTTGTGGCACCAGGTCTTGACACACACACATTGGTAGAGCTTAGGTTTATATTTTTTTGGTTTTAAATTTTATCAATGTATGCTTAATTTATTAGTTGGCTTGCCTAGATGTAAGTGTTGGGCGCCATCATGACCTATAATTGAAATTGGGTCGTGACAGTATAATTGTGTATAATGAATATTTGTGAATTGACTACAATGTATACATTCGAATTGAATAGAACAATATATACCTTGTTTCTTGATTACCTCATTGTATTTATAAATACAGTCGTGTAAATACATGGAATACAACACAGTAGCAACGAAATTTATGTAGAATTAATTTTTGTTAAATTAGGAGTGATACACACTAATTGATCTTATTTCCGTTATTAAACAGCTGGACTTCCCTATTTTTAAGCGAATTTCTCTACTACATTCATGAATACAGTAGCACAACAAATACAGTGAATACAGTCGCACAGCTGGGCTCTCCTATTTTTTAGGCGAATTTCGCTACCCTATTCCTGAATACAATAGCGCAAATACAGTGAATACAGTCGTAGCAACATAATTTATGTAAAATTGATTTTGTTGAGTTAAATTAGGAGTGATACACGCTAATTGATCCTCTTTCCGTTATTAAACAGCTGGACTCCCTTATTTTTAGGCGAATTCCGCTATTGTATTCATGAATACATCGAATACAACCACACATATGGACTCTTTATTTTTTAGGCGAATTTCGCTATTGTATTCATGAATACAGTAGCGCGAATACAATAAATACAGTCGCGTAACAACTAAATAGTGGCTATAAGAAGTAATTATGTATATGATAGCTATAGGAAGTTAATAACCACTAAACAATAGTGATTTCTGAAAATTTTCCTTCTTCATTTTGGGAAAACTAGTCAATTTTGACCCCTAAATGTCCGCTATTCGAAATTGAGACGAATATTTTTTAGAAATAACCTGATTTACAATTGCTTATTGAAAATTAGCCACAGTTTCAAAAGTAATCGAAATTTAGCTATCTTTTCATATAAAAATAAAATATGAACAAAGACACCCTTTAAATTCAGGAAAAATTCTAGCATAATATGCTAGAGTTCGAATTTTTTACATAAGAGATTCTAGCATAATGAGCTGGAATTAATATTGTGCTAGAGTTCCAACATAATATGCAGTGACGAAACTGAAAATTTTGTGAAGGGTATTAAAAATTTAATATACACATATAAAAAAGTAATTTTTCACCTATATACACTATATAAGTTTCGATGTATAGTATAATTTTTCAATGAAGGGTGTTTGGTTGACAACATTTCGATATATGTGGCTACGCCATCGATGATATGCTGGAACTTTCCATTTCAGTTAGAGTATTTTTATTCAGATTTTATCTTCATATACAATAATAATTATTTTTCAATTACCTTTCAAATACTGACTATTTTTTAATTATCGGTCCGAAATCTGACTAGCCCATGCTATTTTAAAGAAATTGTGGCATGCATTTTGGGAGGCCAACCAAGTCAAGCAAGTAACTTTAGATGGGGCATTTATTTTTCGAATCCTTTCCGAGTGTGGTGGTGCAATAAGAGACATCGTAGTAGGACTTTTATTTTTCGTAGTAGGACTTGAGCTTGACTAACCGTTTTGCCATTCTTTTGACCGTTCTAGATTATGGTGTCTGTTTTCTCAGGGAAACTTTTGTTTCATCTAGCTTTTCCAATAGTACAACCATGTTGATGAATTTATTTAATTTATAGTTTCTTTTAAATCACAAATTTCAAAAGTATTATACAAGTCATTATGGCATCTAGGTGGTTAATTAAGCAAATATGTGGTTACAAAAACATTTCAAATTTTAATATTTTTTTAAATTTAGTAGAGGTAGGATTGAATAAGTTAATACGATAAAGTTTTTCTCTCGTTAAATTAAGTAAAATTTAATTATCTTCACACTATTGTTTTTCTGTTATGTATAGTCTTTTTTCATTCTTATCACAATTTTACTTTCTCATTTTATCTCAAATTCACACTATTTATATGTATACATATATGAACTCAGATATTAAAAGTACAAGGCCTCATATTAAAATTTAATTTTGGGTCACGAATTTTCTTGCTTTTCCTTTTTTTTTTCTTTCTAAACATCACAATGATGAATCAAATTCATATTGACTAGATTTTCTTTTTGTTAAAAATGATATATTCAAGAGACGTGGGTGTTTTTATAGAACAATTTCTTGGTTCTTGGTTCTTGTTTTTTCCTACTAAGAAATCTTAGCTTTATTGTATATCTACAGTTATGGGTCCACATGGTGGAGATGACTACCGCTTGAAACTGAGGCCACGTGTCCAATGCATCCTTTAGTTTAGGTAATTAAGCTTGATGATTAATTGAACTGTGTTGATTATTATTGCTTTCTAATTTATTTCTTTCTATATGATTAATGTGTTGATTATTATTACTTTCTTATATTAGCTCATCACAAGTCTGACAGCAGAATCAACATGTATCAGAAAAAGATGCACTTAAGAGGACGACGTGTCTCGGCACTACAAGCGAAAAGCGTAAATTTAAACAAATTTGATTGTTACGGCGCTTGAGGCTCTGCTCGTCCAACTTAGCGGGGGCTATTTGACCAGATAGGTCATTAGCCACCCGTAGAATATTTTATCAGCGATTTGGGGAAGAGAGCACTAATTTGAAAAGGGAGCTAAGGGAGGAAAGTTGAAGAGATTTTAAGCTGAGTGGTTTTCCTAATTTTTGTGTTGAGGCCGTGAAGGGTGAAAACAAGAAAAATTACCCCTTGATAATACAAATAGTAATATTACTATGTGAAGTTAAAAGCTTTATGTTATTTAAAAATCTAATATTATAAACAACAAGTATGAAAAAAATAACACTAATTTTTTGCATATTTATGTGTATACATACATGAATTCTGATATAAAAAGTACAAAGCCTCATATTAAAATTTGATTTTGGGCCACAAATTTTATTGAGTCACCTTTGATTTAAGCTCTATTTTATAGATTTTAGAATAATGTTTTTCAATGTATTAGTGAGTAACAAATGAATATTTGTTTTATTAAAGGTATTATAATCCATCAACATTATATTAGTTTTTTAACATTAGAATAATAGGAAAAAGTTTTAGACAATCTATATTTCACATTAACATTTATTTTGATATTAATAATAGTAGAGAAAAGGGAGCGGTTTCCAACAGTAATAGTAGCCCCTATATAACTATAAACCACTCAAACTATTTCCCCCTCTCGACTCTCCCTGAAGAATCAAAAACTCGGCTCACCTTCGTTTCTCACTATCTGCAAGAAATCACAAGGCACTATCTGCAAAGAGTCGCAAAGACACATCCAATATCAAAACGATGAATCAAAATGGAAAACTTCTCTTCGTGTTCTACTATTGCATGCAAATGTACTTCAATAAAACTCTCTTACACTATTAAAAAATAATGTAATTCCGTCCGCTATTTCCGATCGAATTCCGATCGATTTCAATTGGTCGGGAAAACGATGGTCGCAAATGTGTATCGACCGAAATCGGTTGGAAATTTCCGACCGAATTCGATCGAAAACTTCAAAGCGTTTACTGACTGTCAAACTTTAATTTCCGACCGATATATATTTTTAAAATTTTCAAATTTCCGACCGAAATCGGTCGGAAACTATTAATTTTTTTTTTAATTTTTAAATTTTCGACCGAAATCGGTCGAAAACTATTAACTTTTTTTATAATTTTTATTTCCGACCGAATTCGGTCAAAATTTTTAAAAAATAAATATTTGTAAATTGTAATAAATTGTTAATTTATTTTAAAAAATAAATATAAATTCATAATTTCCGACCGAATTCGAACGAAAAATTTCATAAACTGGAGAATTTATTTGAAATTTCCGACCGCATTCGGTCGGAAATTATGAATTTTTGGGCAAAATAAATTAATTTCCGACCGAATCCGGTCGCAAATCTGGGTAAAAATTGGGCAGAAAATGCCTATTTTTGAGCTACACCACCTGCCAATTACAACCAATATCTATCCTATAATGGCAGCATTACATTGCTAACATTCAACCATAATTAATCAACAACAATGAATATACTAACAACAACAACAACAACAACAACAACAACAACAACAACAACAACAACAACAACAACAACAACAACAACAACAACAACAACAACAACAACAACAACAACAACAACAACAACAACAACAACAACAACAACAACAACAACAACAACAACAACAACAACAACAACAACAACAATTAACTAACAAAAACTCTTAACTAACACTAACAGCCATTATCTAACAACCACAACAACTAAACACAACCACAACAACTAATAACAACTACAACAACAACTACTAAAATGTTCAATAACAAAATAACAATATAATCATCATTTAAAACTAGTCTCAACTAAATATTGACAAGTTCAATACTTTGTTTAGCAATACACACCATTCAATGAACTTTTTATCTAACATCATCTCCATCTTCACTCCTAGAACCTTAATCGTCGGCACATGGGGAAGGCTCACGAGACCGGGGAATGGGAAAAGCACCACTAGCAAGAAGATTGGCCAGCTGATCTTGAAGGAGATTAAATTGTTCGTCCCTCCTTTCTACCTGAACTTGAAGGGTGCCAAATTGTTCATCTCTCTTTTTTTCTCTAGAGTTTGTCTCTTCAAGCTCCGCTGTCAGCTTTGCAATCTTCTGTTCCATAGACGATATAGTCGACCTATCAATCGCCTCGCCTTGGGCGGAAGTCCCTATACCTTGAAATCCAACCCCGTAGTGCCTAAATGATTTATCTGGAAGGCCGTATGCTATCCCCTTTTTAGGATCATCGACAACATCCAACCATATCCTCTGCGCTTCTTTGTCTAAAATGGGTGGTCGCTCGCCTTGCTCATTTGGTGGCAAGCTCTGAGTGTACTCCTCCAAATTAATCTTGTAACGACCCTTTATTTAGAAGATAGAAAATTACTAACTATATAATATTATAAACATTTATAGTAGTTATGAAACTTATATGTGTAGTCTCCGCCTGGTCCTCGACCCATCTAGTTGGATTTGTCGGTGCCTTCTTCTTCCGGATGTGAGTCTCCATGAAGAACTCATCATGAATCATCTTCCTCCCATATTTTTTTCCTACAAATATAATAAAACGTGTTAACGAAATTAACATATATAAATATAGTTCGATAAAAATAGACCGAAATATTTTAAGAAATTACCAGTTATCTCCTCGTATCCCCATGCTTCTTGAATCCAGATAGTGCAAGGAGCCACCCTTTTCAGATGCTCGGGTCTTCTTTCCCAGTTTGCAACAGCCTTCTTCCCACTGGAAAGCCACTTAAAATAAGGGTTTTCACAAAATTTATAACTTTTTAAATCTGCATCACCCTTATAATACAGCATGTAACCATCTTCACAACAATCGATTCTCATAGATGAGAGTCCTAACTTAGAAATCAATATTTTAGCCTTATAGAAATCTTAAGGTATGTTGAAAGTTGGGTCAACTAGTTCACTCATAAGGCCAATGAAAGAATCCATTCCCGCTTGAGAAATATTGGTATCTGATTTGATACTTAATAATCTAACCGCAATAGACAACTGAGAGTGTATACTCCCTTCCCTTAGTGGACGACTAGCGGTCTCTAACTGTACATAAAAATATTTTGCCTCTTCGTTAGGAGATTGTTCAACACTTTCATGGGTTTGAAAATTGAAGTGCATCCCAAAAGCATCCGCAACCATTTCATGGTATCTAGGATGTTGAACGTTATTCCCCACCAACCTACTACTTTCACCAACAACTACATTATGAAATATAACATCACTACCATCAATCTCTCCATGACTAGTCCACACAAAATAATTATCCATAAACCCTTTTTAATAAAGATGAGCCTTAACATCCTCCGATCCAAAAAAATACAAACACTTGCACTTCATACAAGGACACTTTATCAACCCTCCAATCTGAAACGGTTCAAGTGACATTGCATGCGAAATAAATTTCTTAACCCCTTCTATAAATTCCTCCCTCAAAAATCGACGATCAAGATAATTTCTATTATACATCCAACTACGAAATTCCATCTACATAAAGAACGAATAAATTATATTAATCATAGTTCAAATTAATTTATAGAATCAAGTTACAAAGAAATAAATGAAATAAAATTAGCTAACCCTAGCATATCACGTAATAAAAAGAAATAAAAAAAAAAACTAATCAGGATACACATTTCAAAGCATTAGCACAATTTACTCGTAACAAGAAAAGACAAGAGAAAGAAGCGGACCTTAGTGTAGCAAAATTTCTTTCTTTGATATATTAGAACCTCAAAAATGTGTAACAACAATAAATTTTGTCACAGCCGTCAACCGAAGCTTGAACGAGGTACCTTACTGACCGGAATTCGGCAGATTTATGGTGGTTTTTGGGCAGGGATTCGAACTGTGTTTGAGCGATTTTGTGACTGATTTTGTGTTTTTTTTGGGGGGGAAGGGGGGGG